GCTAAAAGTAGCAAAAAGGTATCTAGGACAAGTAACAAAATGCTAGCTGAAAGTAGCGAAAGGCTAACAAAAAAGCTAAAAGTAGCAAAAAGGTATCTAGGACAAGTAACAAAATGCTAGCTGAAAGTAGCGAAAGGCTAACAAAAAAGCTAAAAGTAGCAAAAAGGTATCTAGGACAAGTAACAAAAGGCTAGCTGAAAGTAGCAAAATGCTAACAAAAAAACTAAAAGTAGCAAAAAGGTATCTAAGAACTACAAGTAACAAAATGCTAGCTGAAAGTAGCGAAAGGCTAACAAAAAAGCTAAAAGTAGCAAAAAGGTCTCTAGGACAAGTAACAAAATGCTAGCTGAAAGTAGCAAAAGGCTAACAAAAAAGCAAAAAGTAGCAAAAAGGTATCTAGGAACTATCAGTAATAAAATCCTAGCTGAAAATAGCAAAAGGCTAACAAAAAGCTAAAAGTAGCAGAACAGTATGTATAAACTACAAGCAACAGAATAAAACCTGGTAGTTTGTTGAAGCAGAATGTTTTGAAGGAACTATAAACAAAAAAGAAAAGTTCTAAAGTTACAAAGGTCGGAGCACTCCTGTCCTGAACGAGCCGAAGGTGGCGTGCGAAGCGACCTGACCTGCCACGCTGAGGGTCCGGAGGCGGAACTCCAGGCCGTACAGCACGACGAAGCAATGGGCCGGGTCCAGTTTACGAGCCTCCTCCGGGAAACGCTCGAAGTCACGGGAGCCCTTCCCCAAACGCAGCTCCCGGATCTCCTGGATGTCAACTGCAGGAAGGAAGGAAGGATAATGTTGCGTGAACACAAAAATGCACAACTATAAATCACAGTTTTGTTCAACTCGCAGAAACAAACTCGCAGAAATGTGGAGCTGCAGGGCCAAAAAAAAAAACCAAACGTCTCAGTTATGAGCTGCAGGAAGCGTCTGGTAAAGTCTTTAACTCTTCGCTGAGTGACAGAGTCGTTAAAACAAGAGGAAGAATCCACTCACGAGGAGCCTCAGACGTTAGGTTCATGAAAACCAGAGGAAATAAAATAAATGAAGAAATTAAATTTGTTTCGGTTACAAAAAGGTCATTCAGTTTCAGAACTCGCCACGAGACGCAGACTAAATTAGGACAAAAATTAACATTTCCCACCAATAGACAACCACAGGGTTTTCTTGAGTCCTGCAGCTCAGAGCGACATCACAGCCGAAACAACATTCAGTTTTTACACAATCTGCTGTTTAAGTTGGATGATTTTCTGGGTCGTCTTTCAGTGTTAATCCCTCCAGAGTGCAGAAACCCAAACTTCCACCCGTTTTAAAGTACCTGTGGCATCAAGTTTTTGTAATAAATACGAATGCACTTTTGAAAAGATAACATTAATCTCAAATTGCAAAAAATAAAATCACGCCTCTGAGATGAACAGTTGTTGAGATATTCACCTGTGAAGTAACAGGAAGTGATGTCAAAGGGGAACGTCTGCATGTAAACAGAGCGTTGTTACAACAACTAACAACACAGACTGTAGAGAAGAATCTGATGTTTAAGATTATTTTGAGTCTATCAGAGAGGAAGAGTCAGAGATTAAAAAATATAGTTTCAAAAAACAAAGACCAGAGAGTTCCCCTTTGATGTCACTTCCTGTTTCACTTCGGCTGAGCCAAGATCAAAAGAAAATCTGCCAGTTATCTGACGAATTGGATAAAATTACATTTTATGACAAGTTTCCTAAATAGAACTATGTTTTCTTTGATGTTTTCTGTTTGAAGTATACGCACGCCACAGGTACTTTAATAT